CAGTGTCACTGACTGTAGTCTTTAGGCCATTCCCAAAGGGGGGACATTTCTCGTTCAAGCATAGTAGAATTGTAAATGGGCTGATTCATGTCACGCTCATAACTGTGCTTGATCTACAACAGGGATCTGCTGCTTTTTCTTTCCTGATCCTTACTATTGTCATTTCCCTCTACTTCTTTTGTATGTTTGTCACTCTCTTGTGACCTGCTATTTTGAGGTGCCTTGATAGTCGAAGCAGACTTTGTACTGTTGAAGCTAGAGAGGTGAGCAGTCTAAGTCTGATTCTCTGTAAAGACTTCTCTGTTGACATCCACCCCTTGACGCTCATATGACCATATGCAGTTGCGAGCGCCGTAAAACCCTCTGCTATAAAAAAAAAATAATAAAAAAGAAGAAGGGGAGAAAAGGAGGACGATAGGTGTTTGATAGGAAAGAAGGAGCAAACCACACCAGAGCACCTGCCAACCACCCGCACCCTCAAGTGTAGTGTCTCATGCTTGTGCTTAAATTACATTAATTGTTTTCTGAAAACGCCATAGTCACCATGACACTAAAACAAAAGACTGATGTGTGCAATGAAGTGTAGCTGCTGCATGCATAGACTTGTGGTATCCTAGACCGCGCACTTTACGTACATTTTGTATCTCCGGATTACAGTGGGACGCGCCAGTCGAGCGAAATGACGGGGCTAAAGGGAAATAATACGCTTCGTGCACTCGTCTGTAGCGAGATTGTGCAATAACAGTGCGGAATAACAAGTTGAAAGATAGATTACTTCCTTCGGAAGAAGAGAAAGCAACAATAGTAAATGTAGATCTGGGATATCTAGTAAAGAAAACTAAAACCGACAAGTGACGGGAAAGGGGGAAAAGAACAGGATACTGGTAAACTGGAAAGTTTTTAAAAAATTAAAAAAATATTTTTTAGATAAAGCGTTTGAACTAAGAAGTGAGAGGTATGATCGATGATGTTTGTTTCAGATTTGGCACTTGAAGAAGAAGAGGAGGAGGAGGAGGAGGAAGAGGAGAGAGAGAGTTAATGAGGAGAAAGAGGAGATGGATGAAGAAGAAGAGGAGGAGGAGGTCGTCGCTAGTCTGGTTTGCTGACATGTGTGTGGTCAAGTAGTTGGGTTTTGCTTTAGGAATTTATCAGAGAGAGAGAGAGAGAGAGAGAGAGAGAGAGAGAGAGAGA